TCCCGCCGCCACGGGCACGCCCTCCGGACGCTCTCCCACTGGGATTACGACAACCCCAAGATCGTCAAGTTCCTGTGCCCGTACGCCGTCACCTCAGGTGCAACAAAACGTTAGTTGCTCACAGCTCTCAACAACATTCCCATCGACGTCGATGGTTGATAGCGCGCGTTGCGGGCGTCTGTCCCTTCCACTTGCTAAGTTAGGCCAATATCGATACGGAAAAAAGGTGGACCACAAAACACGCAGAAAGTTAATGCACGATTTCCTCCACTCGCCATACCTCGCTAAAGATATGTACAGGTTCGTCAACACTGTGCGTGCGATGCCTTACACACCACATGTATTCCTGCCCCATCAAAATGGTCCCATCCGACTTTCCTCTCGGTCTTGTAAATTTCTCTGCAGAGGGCGCTGCCGGAGCATCGTCCGACACGGAGGGCCGCCTCGTGGTCGCAGAGACCCTCCCCCGGGGCGACAGCATCGAGCTGGATGGCGAGGAGCTCGAGGACTTCCTTGCCGAGATGAACTGAGCTCAGGTTCTCCCACGCCGTCCTCGCCTTCGGCTTTTGGTGGGGATGGACCTGCCTCCCTGGGTCGCCTTTTAGGACGACGAACCTCGCACTTGTTTTTTTTTTTCTCAAGATTTCTGTCTGCCCTCTACACACGGTCCTGCATATGGAGATTCGCGACACGTGTGATGGGTTAGAATAAGTTGTGTTGGTGTGCTCTTGGCATGATTCGTCCCAAGATGTCCTATACCTCGCGTCTTGGCGTCTTAGGTTCTTAGCGGGGGTCACGAGCTGTTCGCAAAGTGAAGTTTGGACTTGTTCTGTCGCCCTTTCACATACACAGAGGGGGGCTCCGGAGGTCCACTAGTCTGTAGGCTTCGTAGAGCATGCTATATTGGCTTGTTGTCGCATCGGCTTTTTCTGCTGAAATGCGTGAGGATCCGTCTTTCGTTGTGTGGAAAGTATTCGGCTTGTCTCGTATACTCTTTGGGTATCCTGCACTCATGGTGTGCACCACGAGGTTGTTCGCTTATCCGAGTGATAACGGGGGGCGGGTTGCGGTGTGGATGGGAGCTTGACTGCGTGTTTTGCTCTGACCTTGTCAGATCATGTGTTCAAGGGGTTGCATCGTATCTTGGGGCAAAAAATGATCCTCGCATAGGATTCGTTGTTGTTGGGATATAGGTTTTCATGGCTGGGTCTCTCGCTAAGCTGTAAGCGGGCTGAGAGAGACTTTCTATTTTGGTCTGTCGCGCGTGCGTTTTTTTTTTCGTTTTTTTTCTCAAGGAAGTCTTGTGCAGGTCAGAGAAATGCGTGCGTTGGCACGGGTGTTGTTGGTGTGGAGAGAACTCACAGCCGGTGTGGCAGGTTGTAGTTGAGCACTACAGCCGACATCTTGGAATTGGGACCAAGTCCGCGTAGAGCGTGTTTTTTTGGGGGGGGGTACCAAGTGATTCTCTGCTTCGCCTTCAAAAAACGACAGTAGTCTAGCTGAATGCGTCGCGCGAAATGATCTTGTCCAGTGTTGTTGATGGCGATGTATTTCTCCTCTTTTGTCGCACAGAAGCCCCCGCCGGGTGGGTTTCTTCATGTATTGTGAGAGTCAACATGTACCGAGCCGGAGTCCGGGCTACAGCTTTGTGGGGCTGCTTGCCCGAACTTTAGGATTGTGGACGATGCTTGAAGTCACGAGGAGAAACATGATGAATGAACAAACCCCGAATACGAAACAAATCGAGAAACTGAATGCTCATATAGCTAAATGCTCAGTGAAGCCTCGGCTTAACCCTGCGCAGAAGTTATCATTGCCAGGCCCCCCCCTGGCACGGTACCCCCTTGAGGAACCTCTCGGGTCTGTCCCGAGGGTTGTGACCATGCGACGAGGGTAATAGGGCATACCCTTAATGTTGTTTTTGCCAGGGCGGGACCATAAATTTCGTCCGCCATTCTATGTCACCACCCTGCCAAGGTCGAAGTAGCCCACCCTGCACATGGAGCAAGATTGTCACATGGTAACCATGTGTCTCGTCCGCCATTTTTTGTCACCACCCTGCCAAGGTCGAAGTAGCCCACCCTGCACATGGAGCAAGATTGTCACATGGTAACCATGTGTCTCGTCCGCCATTTTTTGTCACCACCCTGCCAAGGTCGAAGTAGCCCACCCTGCCCATGGAGCAAAGTGGCTACGTGTGAACATTTACATTGGTATGGAAATGAATGAGCAAACAACGTCCACAAACATTCGACCACTTGCAGATATTTGTTACCCGACCTTTCCTCGGAGGCCACCAAACTTCTTCATGGTTCATTGTTCGTTCGTGGGTGATGTACCGAGAACATTCAAAAGAACATCCACAAGACCCACTAGTCTATATATGGTTGAAAATTGACGATGTTGCGTTGTCGCCCGAGTGTAATGCGCAGTGTGTGCAATCTCGGCCACAACATAAGAAACGTCCCACTGCTGCTCCTTCCGTCCCCCCCACCATCCCTACCTGGTTAAACAGTGCATTTTTGTAGGGGGGAGAGTGGTCATTTCCCGGCGCCCCCCGCGCCGCTGCTGCTGTACTGTGTGCTGTAGAAGAAGTGGATTGTCCTCAGGGATCAAGGGAAATACCGTAGACACATATGCCATAAAAGAGTGCAAAAGAAATACCGCAAGAAACTTCAGGAAATACACAATGAATGCAAGAAGAGAGTTAGTAAGGAGTATGCGACAGTCCAAAGGAAAGACAAATGCCTTCCAAGAAATGGATTACTTGGACTGACTGGCCCTTCGACCCAACATGAGAACATAAGGAGGCTCGACCCGTTTTTGACGTTTCTTATCTGCGGGCCCGTACTCTGTAGTCTACCGTCTACGACTGAGTACAGTTGGTGAAAGAACAACGAACCGATGAAAAAAAACGTTTCGCGTTTCCTTTTGCGGAAGGGAGTTGTTGTGCCATCCCCGTTCCTGATGAAACAAATGAACTACAGCGCGAGATCCTGCGTCTCTCGCACTTGATGCAGGTGCAGAAGACGATGAGAGGTTTCACGCCGTTCGTGCTTCTGCTTGCGACCAAGGTGGACTTCAGCACGGGCCATGCCGTGAACGTTTTACAGCACGATGGAAGGTGATATTGAACTAGTTTTGTTGAGTAGCTTTGCGTGTCTTGCCCACGCCTTGCACTGTAGGTTAGATGAGGTAGCATTGCAAGTCGAATCTTTATTTACTCGTAAAACCTGCTGTCGGACCTCTACTCTACGTACTGTACTACCACAATACTACTTTGTTTTCTTCATCATAAGAACTAGGGCACAGCCCCGGGGCCCGAATCGTACCGCGGAAGAGGGTGTTAGCGCTACGCACGCAACACCGCATTTGGTATAACACAACGCTATGCGCGATACTGTTCGTTATTGGAGGCTCTTATGGCCAACAATACGGTGAATTTCCCGTCAAATCTGCCCGATATTGATTTGTGAAATGCGTTGCTGGTAAACATCGGATCGACGTTTCTCCGCAAGAGTTTGGGGATGCTCGTTGTGGTCAAAAGCTGTCCTCCATGTATCCCGCACCGTAGGTACGGTCCGAGTCTCGCTTGAGAAGCTGGTTGTGTGTGGTCCTGCCTCGCCTATCGGCATGTTGCACACTGTGCGCGATTAATACAAAGCTTGCGGCGGTGAAGGAGTGATGAAGTAGTAGCTGAGGTTAGAGATGTGGCGAGTGGTGGTAGTGGTGGGTATGGAAGTTTGGGGGGAAGTGAGGCTTACGGACGTGCGTGTGTCGAGTCGGGCAGTCGGGCTGACTCGAAATTTCAAAGAGATCTGTGAATACATCAAGTACATGCTCTGCACAACAATCTCTCAAAGTTCAATGTGGATTCCTCCTGACGCAGCGACACAGACATCAACTCTTCCTGCGGCTGTGTACCCACAGCATGCTGGCGCTTTCCGTGCTCCACGCGTGAGTTTGTGACATATTCATGTATTTTGATAGGGTGACGACGTTGGAGGGGTGATGACCACACCACCACCGTAGTTAAGGCTACGCCAGGCTTCTCGACGACCCCTGTGTCTCCGGGTCCCCGGGGCTCCGGCATCATCGCGTTTTTTCCCTGATCATGTGGTACATGTATGTACTGTACGTGTACCATTAGAAGACTACTCAGTCAGCGCTGACCGAGTAGTCTAATGGGTAAGCCTTTCTAACAACGTGTTCCTTTTTTGTAACAGGTCAAACTGCTTCATGTATAATGCAGAATATATTCCTAGCGGTGCCCCGGCCGATATCTGAAAAATTGTTCGCTCTGGTGCTTAGCCCGAGGAGACGCCAACCTGTACGTTTTTTTGGAGAAACCATACCAGTTTGAGCCATCCCATCGATTACAACTGTGCCCGATGTCCGTTTAGTCCTTGTAGCGCGAGATCGAGGTGCTTGAAGTTTGGGATTTGAGCAATATCTTCCCGCCGAGATCTTTGGAAGCAGCACAGCAAAGTGTGCTTCCGTTGCCGATAGCTACACAGCACGCCAGAGCCAAGCGAGGGGTGTGGGAGTGGGTCCCATGACTTGACAGCAGCAGCAGGCAACCAAAAACTATTGTAGAGGTGTCCTTCTGTGAACTGTATGTACAGTAGTACTGTAGTAGCATGCATCAGCCCGAAATTTGGGCAAAATGACGGATCTGGGTCCTTGACGAGCCTCCGCCGTTATTCACGTGTGTGTATGCCCGATCATCAAAATGATGGAACGCGTATGTAGCCGGCTCACCTGGTGTTCTCACCCTGCAAAAATGTGTAGGAGAGGCTTTGGAACGGGCACAGTTTCATTCTAGATCTACGGCCCGACACGTATTAAATATTACGCTTTTTTGCAAGGAAGCCCCCCCCCCCCCTGAGGGCAATTTCGATGTCGCTTTATTATGGCAATTGGTATGGGGGGCTTCATTCACGAAGGCAAGTGATTGTCCCTCACGTAATATATAGAAACTAGTGACCCCCCGCAAATCACACACACACACGGAGGATGATGGTCAAAGCACTCCAAAACGAACTAGAGTGCAAGGTAACACCCTTGGTGAACGCGTGCAGTCTTCTTCTGTTGCTACCGTTTCTGTCTTTAATCCGAAGAATATCTCCCCCATGCCGCCCCCTCATGGGGTCCCAGTTAATGGCAGTTAGAAGTGCCTTGTGTTTCAACCGCACTAAGACTGACGTCTTTCATTGGTCAGCCGGTTAGCGCGGTCGATGCTTAAAATAATACCACACACGGACCCCAAGTTTCGATTGGTAGGCCTATCCAGAGTATGTGTCTTGATTTATTTTTTCACGTAGACCTTGGCAGACCGTTTCTTTTCGGTCGAGTCTAATCTTGCGTCCCCCTGTACAAATAAGCTGCCTTTGTGCAAATCTCTGAGTCTAAATCCATGTTGTTTCGTTTGGTTTTGCGAAACGCCGTTTCCTTTTTACAATGAATGCTCTTGTGACCCACGTCGACGTGTTGTTGTTTCAATCGTTTGTCATGTCACGGCCATAACACTCTTCTGATGCTGTGTACCACCAGCGCAGTGTGGCGTGTAATCCCGTGTGCCTGCGTCCCTGCCTGGCACGCGTTTGTTTGTGTATGACAGCTTCACCACAAATGTATGTGTGCGTGAAGAAAAAAGGAAACCACGGGGGGGGTCGATGTTGCGACCACGTGCAACCAAACCCGGTGCATAGACATGTATTAGATATATTGGGAGTACTCGTAGCATAGTATGACGGTTGAGATGTCCGGTACGTACGTACGAAAGTAACAGTGATGAGATGCGGAGGGATAGGAACTTTCTACATATATTCCTTGGTTGCGAGAGGTATTTGGTGGAGATTCAGAGAGATTCGTTGAGTGACAAAGAGTGAAGGCGTGCCCAGATACCGTGAAGGTTTGACGAGCACTGGCACGCCCCCGATGAATACAATACTTTCCAATACTTTTGCATTACGTTTTCAACACGTTTTCTACCCATCCACGCTCCGCCATGAGCCACCCGCTTTGAGCTCCAACCACAAAGAACCGAGCCACCCGAATTATCGATCACGCTAGCGTATGACACGTCGTCTACGAGATTCGCGGTCGAGCTTGGTTTAGGAGCATCGCTTTGCGGCGATCAAGAGCAGGGTCACGATGGCCACCAGGCGCGAAGATGAATCCCGCCCAGCAGCGGAAGCCCGCCAAGCAGCGGAGGACGCCAGGATCGAAGAACTGGTCAATCAACGCGAGAGTAGCAGCTCGGATGGAGCAGCTGATGGAGGAGAAACTGGCCAAGAAGATGGCCGAGATGGAGGTACGGCATCGAGCCGAGCGGCAGAGATCAGAAGATCTCCGGCGAGGAAATGAAGAACAAGAGGCACCACACCAGCAAGAACCTGGGGGCCCAACACCCAACCCTTCCGCAGACGATCTGGCCGACGCGATTGCGACTGCCATGGCCGGTCGCCTCCAGACTTCATCAGGGGATATCGGTGCAGTGCCTCACCCTGCAACTCTCCGTATGACTGAAAGTAGACGAATTGAGCTTTGAGAATTTTCTGCCCGCCAAGCAGCGGAAGCCCGCCAAGTAGCGGAGGATATTGGTTTTTGTTTGTTTTGAGAATTTTCTGCCTGCCAAGCAGCGGAAGCCCGCCAAGTAGCGGAGGATATTGGTTTTTGTTTGTTTTGAGAATTTTCTGCCCGCCAAGCAGCGGAAGCCCGCCAAGTAGCGGAGGATATTGGTTTTTGTTTGTTTTGAGAATTTTCTGCCCGCCAAGCAGCGGAAGCCCGCCAAGTAGCGGAGGATATTGGTTTTTGTTTGTTTTGAGAATTTTCTGCCTGCCAAGCAGCGGAAGCCCGCCAAGTAGCGGAGGATATTGGTTTTTGTTTGTTTTGAGAATTTTCTGCCCGCCCAGCAGCGGAAGCCCGCCAAGCAGCGGAGGACACCAGGCGCGAAGATATTGGTTTTTGTTTGTTTTGAGAATTTTCTTGATTGTTTTGGAGAGATGGTAAAGAGGAATTTGGTTTGATGGTTTGTTTTGTTTTGAAGTAAGCAGGACTGCTGACAAGGCATGCCTTCGTGGTACGGTCGACTACGGGTCATTTTGGTTTTTCTCGGAGCATGACGATGCATACGAGTAGGGGGGCTATTAGATATATTGGGAGTACTCGTAGCATAGTATGACGGTTGAGATGTCCGGTACGTACGTACGAAAGTAACAGTGATGAGATGCGGAGGGATAGGAACTTTCTACATATATTCCTTGGTTGCGAGAGGTATTTGGTGGAGATTCAGAGAGATTCGTTGAGTGACAAAGAGTGAAGGCGTGCCCAGATACCGTGAAGGTTTGACGAGCACTGGCACGCCCCCGATGAATACAATACTTTCCAATACTTTTGCATTACGTTTTCAACACGTTTTCTACCCATCCACGCTCCGCCATGAGCCACCCGCTTTGAGCTCCAACCACAAAGAACCGAGCCACCCGAATTATCGATCAACATGATGGTGATGCGTCAACGTTGTCAAGAATCAATCGTACATTGGAATCAATCGTATTTGACCAGTGCACCATAGGACCCTTCGATCACTATAGAATGGGTACCTGGGTCAAGGGTGCCAAGATCTGACGATGTGTGCGACTTTGACACTCTTCGCATGCGTTTGTGGTAACGTTATTCGGTCCCATCCAGGCGTGCCCTTTCTGCGGTGGAAGAGGCCAACGATCTGGACTTGTTCTATCGCCGTCTGGATCCTGGCCCTGGACAATGCTGCGGGATGTGCACCCAGGTGTGACTGAGCTTCAGTTTGCTCACCATTCGACCTATTTGCGTTCTGTGAGGGGACTTTCTTTTTTGAAGGCAACGTCGCACGTACCGTCGTCTCGCCCCCCCCCCCAAGAGTTCTCGTTCGATGTGGCGCACAATGTTGAAACCAATTTGACTCAAAGCGATTATACGACACTTCTGCTCTACTACAGGCCACATGCAATTTGCGGTGTACAGATGTAGTACTGTATCCGGTCCAGACGTCGGTGAATCAGGTCGTTGAAACGAAAAGACACGCAATGCAGCTCCCCGCCAGAAGTCTACTTTTCCCTCCAGCAATCTCATTATTATCGTAACCCTGAACCTCACCGATTAATCGGGAGTGGGTGCTCTGTGTGCAGCTTCATCGTCCAAACCATTTGGCGATGAGTACCAATGACATTTATTTGCACGCGCACACCACCGCCGTCGGGATGCATACAGCAAGTAGTGAACCGCAATGACTTAGCGTCGTAGTGTCATGCCCATGAGCATACCCATGGGTAGCCCGATGGGTAGCCCGTGGGCAGCCCATGGGCGACCCATGGGCAACCACATGGGCGGCGAATGAAAACCCGTCAACTGGAACCAGTGTACTCGTAAACAATAGCTATCTGCTTTGGAACGGGCACTATAGCGGCCAAAAGCCCTAACGCTAACACTAACCCTAACCCCAAACCGATACGATACGTGCTAAATGGCGGGGGCGGTGGTAGCTAAGTTCTCGGTTGATGTGCCGGTGGCTGGATTCTAGGTTGATACGCCGGTGGTGAAGTTGTAGGTTGAAGTGCCCACGGTGGGCACTTCATGGGCCGCCCATGGGTCCATGGGCGGTTTCACGAAACTCTCAGAGGTGGGAGATTGTGCCGGAATAAACACCTTTTTAGCTCAAACTGATCCTTTGGGGCGATTTTCCCCGAAAGACAATCTGGCACGTAGTCTATCCTGAAGGCTTTCGTTCACAGAACGTTGTTCTCTTCTGATGATTAGTTAGCCTGTGACCTACGGAATCGACTGACTGCGCAAGTGGTAGTACACGGTTAGATGAAGGTTTTGTTGTGAGTATAGCAGCAACATCAACAAACGTAGACATGGAAACAGGACGTACCTTTGGCACCTGTGGCTGCAAGATCGGCCTCTCGAATACATTCTTGATTAAATCAACTTCAAAGATGCATGCTTTTCCTCGAGGGCTTCTCCACGACTCTTTGAGTCAAGAATCCTCGCATTTCTTTCAAAGAGCCATTGACAACATCCTAGTCGTTCTGCTCGTCGTGGGCACCAAACCCGTCATTGCAGCCTTCAATGTATACCACGAGAGAGAATGCCATCGAGCGGTCATGGGCCGAGACGCACCCCAGCGAGACCGCCAAGATTCTATAATTCGTTCAAGTTCTGCAAAAAACATGATAAAATCCACCCCGACGCATTCTCTTCCTCCAATGATAATATATATTCCCGTCGACGTCCCGCCACAAGGGCCGGCGGCGACCGAACCCTAGTTTTTCCAACTACGAGACTCGCTCGTAGATAATCCAAGTGTCCCTCTGTGCGAACTCTACAAACGCCCTGGGCCAATAACCAAAGAGAAAAACCTACTACATTCTCCCGTCGTCGCTCTTGTACTACAGTAGTGCATCCCTGTGCCTCGTCTCCGATGTGAGCCAGACCGCATATTTTCCTTCACACGGAGAGACTTTCCAAATGAAAACATTGTACAATTTTGGTCACACAGCAGGCAAAGGTGGGTATATAAAAATATTGTAGATTTCGGTGGGTAACGCACTACTGGAATTTCGAACAAACTCGTACCACTTGTTGAGGCCGAGAGCACCGGGGCTGGGTGTAGGGTGAAGACGTGGCCGACGGTCCGTAAACATTGGTGTTCATGCTGCGCATGTGGGCTGTGCCCATGCCTTCCATGCATCGGACTGATATCTTGGTGGTTGTGTCACGAGTGGTTTCGGCAAAGAGGGTTTTCGTGTACAGTTCCCACTTTTGTCTCAAAAAAAAGGGTAGATAATATACCGACTTTTGTCCAGTCTCCGAAAGGGTTAACTGGCTATCTCGGGGTTCTTCGAGAACTATTAAAAAATGGTCTAGCAACTAACGCATTGAAAAACATGAGTGCGTCTCCCCGTGACCGTTCGCTGACAGTCCCGTATCGAAACGCGTGTTCTTTACGTGTATACTAGCTACTACTGCTGTTGTTCAGCTGAATCTATTTCTTTTATAGCTTGAGTGCGGCTACTGTTGTCGATGTTGCCAACATCGAGCACAGAAAGGATAGAACTTGGCAACTGTACATGAATACGTCAATATCCCTGACAGCATCGCCGTATCTCCTTGCCATTTTGATGTCTTGTCGATACACTTGCACCCACACCCATGGTACGCCCTACCAGCAGTACCCTTCTGACGTTAAGCGCCGCTGCCCGTGTAGTATTTAGCATCTACTCATAGTCTATGTCTCCCGACAACAAAACTAACGAACCCTCCTAAATCTTGTGTGCTTTCCTTGCCCCTGCCCCTGCCAATCTGCACGTATCCTGCACAGCTTACTCTCAACTCGCGGATTGTGGAGCTTCTCGTTTCGGGAGACGACGCAAACGCCGGCGATCTCAACCCTGCCGTTCTCGGGGCAGGAGCGAGCTTCAACATCATCATCATCATGACCATTGTCTTCACCGATAACGCCGCCGCGGACCCGTCGAAGGTAGAAATGAACGTGTTCGAAGTGGTCATCACGCCCGACGACTGGACCGATGTGCCGTGCAGCTATCTCGAGGATGACTGCGTGGTTTTCGAAAACGACGAACTGTTCATGTTCGCCCCCGATGCCCCGGGCGGGTTCGCCACGCTCAGTCTCGATGCCGTAAATGAGATCAACGCCAATACCGATATCAATGTTATTAGTACCAAGTGTACCCTCGTTTGCGAGAATGCCAGCGACTGCGACAGCGACCTCGACCCAGCCGACGATGGCGTTGATTTCGGGGTAATCCAGCAATCCATGTTCAACAACGGCTTTTGCACCCCTAGGATATGGGATGACCCGCACCTGACTGGCCTCCGCGGCCAGCATTTCGACTGGTATGGGCAGGATGGCGGCTGGTACGCCTTCCTGTCGACTCCGGATCAGCTTCAGATGAACCTTCGCGTCACCTCTCACCTGCCCGCGACGTTTCCCGAGCGCCAGTTGGTGACCGGAGTTGCCCTGGTGACCGAAGGTGGCCATACGATCACGGCCGACATAGTAGACCCCCTTGATCTTGCACCCACTTGCCACGGAACCGTCGACGCCGTCGGATCGGCGCCTTGTCTGGTCAACGGTGGTCTCCGCATAACTGTAGATGGGCGCGAGCAGCTGCAAGGCGCTGGTGAGTACGACTTCGACGGAGACATCCACATCACGGCCGTCAATCTCCCCCTCGAGTGCCAGCGGTTCGGCGACTACATGATGTGGGGCGACCTCGACGTGGAGCAGAGGCTCAGAGGGGGTTCGCGTTCTCTGCGGTCCGCTGAAACGGTCTTCGACTGGCTCGTGGCGGATTCTGTCATGATTGCCCCGGCGTGGTGCGTAAAGTACCTCAAGGAGCTCAATGGCGACGTGACCGCCCTCGCCAGCATGAAGTCCAGCCATGCAGTGCTTCGGATCGGGACGCCAAACCTGTCACTGCGTGTGAACGTGGGCATCAACACGGAGCGGGAGCAGACCTTGCAGGACGGTCGGGTCGTGCCCACTGCCTCCTTCTGGCAGATGGACGTGCGCGTCGAGCACGCCGAGGGTATGGCAACCGCCAAGGGAATGCTCGGTGAGACAGCACGCCCCGTCCGCGACAGCCAGACGGGCAAAATTATAAAGTCGGGTCTCGGCGTTATTCGCGGAGATGTGGAGGACTACCGTGTCATCCACCCGCTCGGCACCGAATTCAAGCAGCTATTTGTCCCGGAGGATTAGTTTTCACGGGCGAAGACGCTGAGGCTGCAGCGGTAGAAGGTCAGCGTAGGCAAAGAACGACAAACAGTGTGGTTAGGGAGAAGAGTGCGTTTTGGTTGCTGTTTCGTAATCTATCTATAAATGCACTGTGGCAGTATGGTGCCCAGGCAGAACGTCTGGTCTGTGTGCTGTCTGGTGCGAGGGTGTTGGGGCGGATTCACTATGAGGCTCATGCTAAATTGATCGGAAATCGTACTTTTGCCCCTATGAAAACACCGAGGGGGAGACTTGCATGATTGTATATTCGTAGAAGTTAGGGGGCTCGTTCATGGGCAAGCAGCGCTTTCAGCACGCACATCAGCATGGGGATAGTCTAGCAGCAGAAGATGCCGTGTAAAGACTGGCCTGCCTGGACGAATGGAAGATTCGGTACCACCATAGTTGCATAGTAGGTCGTCAGCCTGACTGCTCCAAACTGGCAATGTCGCAGGGCCAGGAGATCAAAGCTCCCATGTCGACTATCGACTGCCGTTCACGGAACAAGATCTTCTGCAAGTTGGTGTGGTCTATATTTAGATTTCGAGGAGGAAGTAGAGTGCTAGCATACAATCATTGCAAGTACCCAGATTTGCATTCACACATTTCACGACTACCAGGGGCAACGACTGGGCCCCCGCCCCCCAATCGGGCGGGCGGCCAGAAACTTACGGTTACGTTTGTAGTCTCAACGGGCTGAGTTTGGAATGGATTTTGGGCGGCTGTTTTGTTGTTTGCTGGATTAGGACTCGTCCGAGGAGGTCGGGTATGCTACATCGCGGTATTTGTGAACGAGCGGCGGTGGTTTAACAGTAAAAGGGAAGTGGTGCCCAACCGAGGAAGCAAGCGCAGATGGCAGTACATGTAGTTGTATCACTACGGTGGAAAAAAGAGTTAATTCTCTCGCAAGAAGTTGGTGATGTCAGAAAACACCGAGGGAGATACATATGTGAACATATATCGACGGGCCACCGAGATAGTACTCTTGATGACGATGGCGTCAGTAGGACAGAAGATGGCCATAGGTTACCCGCTCCTGTGGTGACACATTACATGTTGTCCAACTACACTGGGCCGTTCAAGGTCCTATGTTGATCCTGCCAAAGCGGAAGACTTACGGAGGAGCCCAGTCGTCTGGAGGAAAAATTTGGATAGGACACAACAAGTAGGACACAAGTGCATTACTCACCGCTTTCTCGGACAAAATTGGGTACTCAGAAATCCAGCTCGCGCGAGCTCCATAGGCGAGCCCCAAATGCCTCAAGACCCAATTCTGACACCTGAAGAACACAGCACGGGCATCAATTTTTTCCGGCTTTCAGGGACACCGTTGGCCCAAATACCTCCGCGGCGCGCAAGGCCTCAACAGAGTGCCCACTTTTGTCCGACATCCAGGTGGGAATACCCAACCGCCTCTACCATCTTTTTCATGTGCCCACGTATATCTATTTTGTTACCGACTCTTGTCCGAATTTTACCCACCTTTGTCCACTCCCGGACGTCGTACACTCGACCTCCACGTCACCGCACGGCAGAACATCGAATATACCCTCGGAACGTCTCAAAACTCGGCAAGCAGCGGCCTATGATGTGCGTTTGAGTGATCGACTGTCTGTCCATCGAACTTGAACACTCCGCTGTCGCCATTCTTCCTCCTCTGGCAATATATCCCTGCCTTCCCTAGTTGATGGCCCACCGATGAGGGCCGCGGTTGGAGGTTGTTGACCTGTTGTTTCCATCTCTTGAGTTGGATCGCGATCGCGTTGTCTCCCCTCTCTCCGCCTGACGGCTGCGCAGGAGACCCGTCTCTTGCCGGTAGGGATGCCCACGGCCGATACCGTCAGCGCTGCCGCTTCCACCGCGCACCTGGCACTCAGCAGCAGTGGTCGTAGGCCATCCTGCTATCCCGGTACACCGGATAACCCGACCGGTGATTCCAAAACCAGGGTTTGTGCTCGGGAGGCGAGGTAGATATACGTTGACAATGCCCGTCGCGTGTTTGAGAGTTCCTTGGTCTACTCCCTCGTTTGGCAGCCGGCTGCAGGCATTCCCCAGCAGAATCTCTGGTCTCATCTCTGCAAGGTCCCTGTGACATTGCCTACTAGAAAGGCTTCGGTGCACGAGTTTGGCTTTCCCTGCGTCGCCGATGGCTCGGATGCACTCGAGCATCTTCCAGTCTTCGCCGATAACCCCAACGACGTCCCACATGTCGTTGACGGCCAGGAGCATGCCCCCAGCCCCACAGCCCAGAACAAGTGTTCGTGGTCTACGTGTCGTGAAGAATTGTCGAACCACTTCGTCGTACGTCTCGCGGCGCGCGTCGTCTACCGCGTCCAGTTCATCCGGGGTGACCTGTACGCCGCATAGGACGGATAGGCTGCCCTCTTTCCTGCCCCGTACTGATGTGGGCCCCACCTCGGCTAGCCGAATGCCGTCCAGCACTACTTTGCTCTTCCTCGTCGTCCTCAGGAGATGTGAGGTCTTTGAGCAGTGTTCCGTCGTGAGCTGGTACCTCAGGCCGTCGGCCTTCTCGTACTCCCGAGGTGTCATCGGGAAAGAAAGGAAGTGTCGATGTCGGGTCCTGTGGGTCCCGTCGTCGAAGACGTGACAGGGCGTCTGGGATAAGATAGTCGGTGCCCTGCGCCACATTGGAGATCCATGCCGCAGCTCATCATTCGCAACGCCCACCTATGCATCTTTGGTGAGAGGTTCTTGCTGGTGAAAAGCCAAACGATGGCTCTGCAATCTGTGACGATAGGGCATCGTACAAGCGACCTATTATGTCTAGCAGTGTATATTTTCACTCCGGATCCGACTAACCCACTGAGAGTGCGTCTGTGGCCGAAGCCAGCCTGGCGCTCAGAAACAGGGCACCGTACAAGCGGCTCATCATGTCAAGCAGCATTATATTTTTGCACTCCGCATTCGAGTAACCTTCTGAGAGTGTGGCGGTGGCCGAAGCCAGCCACACACTCAGTAACAGGGCACCGTTCAACAAGTGACTATCATTGTGAAATTGTGCTCCGGATCAGACTAACCTACTGAGAGTGCGACGGTGGCCGAAGCCAGCCTTGCACTCGGTAACAGGGCACCGTACAAGCGAATTATTAAAGGTTGTTTTACCCATGAAATCCAGTGGTTTTCGCATCACCGTAAACTATCATAAGTTGAATAAGCTATGTGCTTTTAGTCAGCTTCCGATTACTAGAGTTGATGATACTCTGGACAAATTGTTGAAGGGAAAGATTTACTCTCTCTTTGACATGAATTTTTCGTTTCATCAAATCACGATTCATCGTGATACCATCCCTCTCACGGCGTTTGTTACGTCTTCTGGGTTGTTTGAATGGTTGGAAATGCCTCAGGGCAGCGCCTCTGATCCCGGATGGTTCTGTAAGGTTGTCAACGAAGTCATCAAAAATCTTCGAGGTCTTGCGTCGTATCTGGACGACCTCATTGTTTTTTATGAGACCCCGGCCGCTCATGTAGCGACCATTCGCTCTCTTTTCGAAAGATTGAGCAAGCACAGTTTGAAACTGACTCCCCAGAAAATCACTATTGGCGCCACGGAAGCCGAGTTTCTCGGGGACCCTATATCTCTGGACGGAGTTCGGCCGAATGGTGAAAAAGTTATTGCTCTCACCAAGATGCCGACGCTTAAAAGACACCAAGCAGCTTCGAGCTTTGCTAGGTGGTTGGAGCTATTTCTGGAAGTTTCTTCCACAAATGACTCAGCAAATTCGCCCTTTTACGACTCTTCTCCAAAAGAATGTGAAGTTTGAGTTAACGGGTCCAATGGAATCCATCCTTCGCCAACTTCTCGAGGAATTGGCGAACCCTCCTGTTCTGGTGTATCCAGATTGGGATGGATGCTGTATCCGCCGGTTCGCGCCCTTTTCGCCTCTACTGTGACACAAGCATAGATGGGTTTGGTAGAACTCTGGAACAAGAGCAGCCTGATGGCTCTATTCGGCCTATCGTTTCCGGCAGCCGCGCTACATTGGAGTCTGAGCGTCATTGGACTCCTCTGGGTCTTGAAGCTGGCAGTATCATTTGGTGCATCAAACGCCTTCGCGGTTACCTGTGGGGCACCCATTTCAAGATTTTCACGGATCATAAGTCCCTTGAACACCTTGCAAAGAGAAAACAACGCTCACGTTCCACGTTCAACGCTGGTTGGAGTTCCTCGCGGCATACTCCTACACTGTTGAGTATCGCAAGGGTTCGTCTAACGGCAGTGCCGACTTCCTTTCTCGACTACCGAGAAGCTCGACTACCGAGAAGCCACCGAGCGTGACCGTTCTGGCCGCAGTCGTTTGAATGCGTCGGCCTAGGACGAAGCGGTTTATCATATCCGCTCTTGCGAACTTGTGCGTTTTTGGCCATCAAGCCGGTGTTGGCTTGGGTGGGCAATTCCCGTCTTCCCCGAGTTCAGTTTTGGGTGGGCTACAGCCTTCTTCACCTGATTTTGCTGATTTTCGCGAGCATGGGCCGCGCGCTAGTGTCGTTCATTCCGGAGTCCCTTCGGGTATCTGGTTGTTCGAGGTTTTACCCCTACCGTTATCGGTGCTTCGGGCTCTACAACTGCTCGCAACCGCCCTCCCGTGGTCGTTTCTGCAGTTTCGACTGCTGCTGGTGGTTTTCCAGTGCAGGATCGACAGAGACACCCGCTACACGTCCTGGTGCTTCATCCAGGTGTTTCCTGGATCCCACCGAATAAGTTCGACACGGACCCGTCGGCGTGCTGCTGCAGCAGCAGGTACTACGCGCCCCGCTGTGGAGTATGGTTTTTCTCAGCCGGAGGACTCGTTTCTCGAGCCGACTGTTCCGCAGTCTGTAGCTCGTGCACCTCGCGCTCATCAATCTTCGGCTTCCCGGCCGGTAAATTCCGCCGCCCCGGCGCTGTTGAGTCCAATTCCGGAGATGGCCGTCCGCTCAGGCCCGACACCGCCTACGCCCGCGTCTGGACCATTGCTTGGTTTGGTGCATGTTCCGCCGGTATTGATGCCCCAGTGCTTTCGAGAGTGGAGCTCGATTTCCGTGAGTCGGTTGAGAGTTTGTCCCATTCTGATTGGGCGAGAGAACAACGCGGTGAACCCGTGTAGATGCCGCCATACGCTACCACCTTCTAGGCCAACCTTCCGTTTTACCGCCTGGTTTTCTTGACCACCTTCCGTCACACCGTCGACCTTCGTTTTCGTACGTTCGTGAACTGGCACATAAAGGCCGGTTGCACGTTGGCGACGATGACGTTGTGCTTCTAGTTAAGAAACTGACCACGACCCCATCTGCCGATTTCACGCGCCCTGGCGGGCGGGCGGCACGCCTCCTCAATGACGAACCTATTAGGGTTTACGTCCCCATGTTGATGCGTCCATGGATGATGTAGGTCTGCCACGCGAATGCGTCTTGTCATCTTGGTGCAGCTCGTACACTGTCTATGTTAGAGTGTTTTTACTGGTGGGTGGGCATGAGTGTCTGTACCAAATGGTGGATTTGCCGTTGCCTGAAGTGCCAAGCTCGCTAAACTTCCCGACAAACGGCCCGGTGGCCCATTATAAGCCTATCTCTGCCGTCCGGATCTGGAGTGTCCGTGAGTGTTGATTACTTCGGCCCACTGCCGACCATCCCTCGGGGTAACACTTACATTCTGCTGTTCACCGACCGATTTAGTCGACGTGCCGACATGTACGCCGTTACGGCCGCTGAGATTACCGCTGAAGGTACCGCCGACAATTTGGTAAATCGGTATATATCCCTTTGTGGGGTTTCCCCTCGAGTCTTTCATCAGACAACGGCACACAGTTTTGCTCGAAACTGTCGCAAGCCGTATACCAACGTCTCGCAGTTCGCAAAGTGGCCATCAGCTCGTACCATCCTAATGGAAATGGGGGTGTCGAGCGACCT